GTGTTACCAGCGTCAGGTGACTTCCGCTGTCGTAACAGTATGTTTACTAGTACCATACAAAAACGCGACGAAAGTTCATATACACTGATGTTACGTAGTTTGTCTTCTTTTGTTTGAAAGTCAGTTTGTCGTGTTCCTTGTATTTGGGTAATCTTGGTATCATTAGATATCCGAATGTGTTCCGATCGTAATTTAGTAAAATTCAAAGATTAAAACTTCTATAAAGGGTAAATTATTATTATTATTATTTGTATGTTAAAGTATATGGCTCAAAATGTATAAGACCTAGTTTTTTGTAACCGTTCTCAACTTAAATATTACTTATATTTTTTTTATAAGTTACTATTTTTACAGTAGGGAATAATACTTTTTTAAACTTATTACGACGTTTCGATCACTAGTGCGATCTTTCTCAAGTACACAGATTGGAACAGTAGGGAAAGTTTTAGTATTTAAATAAACATGCGACAATAAAACATTGTACATTGTAAGTTTCTTGTTGATGACCGACCTTGTGTGCTACTCTCAAAACCAGTTAATTAAAACATAACGTGTATTTGTAGACAGTTTAAAAACGTATAAATTAATAAATAGCTATAATACTATTAGTTAGATTAATTGTTAATAGACGAATAAATCAGTACTATAAAACTATATTTAACTTAAATTAAAATATGCATTGCCATTGTCGGTCCTCGTTATCAAGTTGATGTCATAACGGATAATGCCTGTGGTAACAGCACCCAAATACGTTGGGGATATCCCATCTATCAGACAATATCCAAACACTAATGATAAATTAGCCAGAAATCATGGAAAATCAATTAAGGGTACAGAGTTGAGTGCTTACACCCACAATGTCTCAATTCCTACTACCTTTCACTGTCTGCAGCCAGTTGTGAGAAGGCAGTTACTTAGAGTTCTTAAAGTAGAAATGAAACCACAATAAAATTTCTATTATGTGAAACTCCCAACCTCCGCCCTTACAAAAAGGGGTTAAACGGAACTAAATGATCTTAAAGAGAACTACAAACTCTACCTTAATAGTTCTTTCACACCCAACCCCCCCCCCCTTCCTTTCTCTTGAAGATTTATTCAGGTATAACACGGGAAATCCGAGACAAGCTACTTGAAGTTAGTCTTTCCATCCCGGTATACTCGATAAAATTATATTTTTAAAGTTAACTAATTATAAACCAAAAGTAACTAACGACCTCTAAGGTCTCCATAAGGTATCTTACATCACCGAAAGTTTATTTTTTTAAATATTTTCGTATTTATTATTAAAAAGTGCAAGGTATTTGCATAATTGTCAGTCTTTATATCCATTATTTTCAACTTATTTATGAATAATAAAACATTATCTACAGAAGAATTATTATTGTTACACATTATGAAAAACCTTTTTGATTGAGATATAATAATGCCTTTTAACATTATATATACAGAATAACACTATTGGACGTGGGTAGACCAATGTTGGGAAACTTAAAGTCATTTCTATTATCCAAAATAGTCAACCTCACTCTATCTGCCTTTTACAAAATTAATATCTATATCTAAATAATTAGCATGAAAATCATTACTATTGCTTCATTTTATTGCGAGTTCTTTCGGATATATAAAGTTAGGTGTAAAATTCAAGTTATTTATGGAAATTAAATCATCCATGTAATGGAGGGTGTCGATGTATAAATTAGGATTTAATACCTGTTTCAAAAACAGATGCAGGTTGGCCATGTTTGAAGAGAAATTCGCCGCCATTAAAATACCCACTGTTTGTTTATATACTTGTTCGTTGAAAGTAATATAACTATTGTAAATACAAAAGTGAAGTATGTTTCTCCATTAAAATACCCACTGTTTGTTTATGTACTTGTTTGTTGAAAGTAATATAACTATTGTAAATGTAAAAGTGAAGTATGTTTCTACATTAAAATACCCACTGTTTGTTTATATACTTGTTCGTTGAAAGTAATATAATTATTGTAAATATAAAAGTGAAGTATGTTTCTCCATTAAAATACCCACTGTTTGTTTATATACTTGTTCATTGAAAGTAATATAACTATTGTAAATATAAAAGTGAAGTATGTTTCTACATTGAATTTAAGAAATTTAAATTTTGGAATATTTATTTTTGTATTTACAAATTATCGATGAAGTCATTGAATACCTGATTGAGTCCTTCAAATCCATTTCAGTATACAGTGTAGTAAAATCATACCAAGAAACAGAGTTGGCTGTTTTTGAAGAATCTAAATTATTTAAACATTCCAAAACTGGAATTTTTTTTTAATAATCCAAAGATAATTATTCGGAATATTTAATAACAGTATTTTTATTTTTTCAAATAAGACATCTAGAATATTATTGAGTACAATAGAGACAGATTTAGTATTTAAATAATTGGTAATGTATCTGAACTTAATGGGATTCTCATGTAATTTCGGAAAGCATACAAAAATGACAAGTGAGATAGTTAGACACAACTTTAAGGGTAATTTTCTTCCCAGAACTGGCTGCAGACAGTAAAAGGCAGTAAGAGTTGAGACGTTGTGGGTGTAAGTACTCATCTCAGTACCCTTAATTAATTTCTTCAGATGGTTAGTTTATCATCAGTATCTAAATATTGTCCGATAGATGGGATATCCCCAGCGCATTTGGATGCTGTTACCAACGACATTATCCGTTATGACATCAAGTTGACAACCTGGACTGACAACGGGAAGTATATTTTATATACATGTAAATATGATCACTCGTCACTTCTTCCGAGCTTGTCCTCTGTTATTTTATCATGAATATTTGAGATGATCCTTCTGAACACTAAATAAACTTTTTTACTTGAAAGATCGTTTGGTATGTTCATTTTGGGGATGATAAATATTTTCATCTCATTTAAAATCAAAGTGAAAGAAGTCAACATGTCAATCAAACCCGTTTTACATCAGTCTATATACATACACATCTATATACAAACTCATCTACATACATATGTATGTATATATATATAAATACAAATGCTCTCTATAGCATGGTTCCCTCAATATCAAAAATGAACCACGATTAGATCTGCCTTTTACTCTTTATTATTGGTCACAAAGTTTCAAATTACTTCTCTTCAGAGTTTGAACTGCTAAACATTTCACATTTATTTTCTGTGTTTATTTTATTGTCAATAACTGAAGTATAAATCCACTGAAAATAAAGCAACAAATCAACACTTAGACTGCTGTTTACATGTCACCGTAATACGACACTCTCGAGAGCAATAAAGCACGCGCACAGAAATAAGCCAACTTGGCCCCTGCTTCTAGAACACCATGTGGAATTTATCAACTTGTGTATCCTACAGTGTTTACAACGAGAATACCCCAGAGTAATAAGATTGTACTTTGAATCTGTGAAAACTTTTATTACAGTATATGGTGAGGAGCCAATCTAATAAACATCACAAGTATTTGAATATTGGTCATCCTTCTAGGATGTTTGGGATTTAGTGGTGTACCATACAGGCATACAAAGATAACTGTCTGCTTTATCGAGTGCTAAACGAGACTAAAGATACTGCCATTAATCCGGAATATCGAGGTGCCCATTATTACAATATATATTTTGGGTACAAATAGTAGGAAAAAGAAAGAGACTGAAAAGATCTGCCCTTGATGGTGCGATGCCTGTTAATCGAGGTTCTGCTCTCTCTCTCTCTCTATATATATATATATTATATACACACATTATATAACGTATACACACACAAATATATTAGTAAATAAGTAGTATTAATATTATAAATTACATCAAATGTATATTAATCAACATTATAGAATAATAATGAAAGTTAGTATGAAAACCCAAACCGTGATGTGTATTACGAGATTCCAACCTCAAAAAAGAAAGAACTGTCCATTGTCAGTCCTTTTTATAATCCATGATGGAAAATATTTGTAGTCATAGCAACCAAAACGTTGGAGATATTTCATCTATTAGACATGATCCAAACACAAATGTCAAACTAGGTAGCCTTTACACAAGATCAAACTAGGGGTTAGGAGATGAGTGCTTTGACCCCATGATGTCTCAATTCCTACTGCCTTTCATTGTCTGCAGCCAGTTGTAGGGAGGAAGTCATCCCCAATATTTTGACCTAAAATAACCTTGTAGTGGAAATAAACCATCTTATATCTCTACATCTGTATGACTCCAAACTGTACCCTTTAAAAAGTATTACAAAATGATGGTAACTGGACCTATTAGGTCATCAAGAAATCAATGTTGCTTTTTTTAGATGAAAAAACCAGAACAACATATATATATCAAAACAAAACATTTATTAAATGAAATAGCCTCCATTCTTATCGATGATGTTTTTCAATTTATACAATCAGGTTATTAATGCCCT